TGTACAATGGCTCTTAAAGGAACGCAGACCCTGCTGAGTCATTTCCATCATTACATCTTACATCTTACATTAAACAAGCTGGTTAGCTGTTAAATCAATACCTTGACATTGACTTATGACCACAATTAAGCCCAAAATGTCTCTTGCAAAGCGAGTCGGTTGTTAAGCGATTTTTGCCCCGTTTTATGACCTTTCTTGCCGCAGTTGTTAAGCGAAACACTGCCGTTGTTAAATTAGTCACACGGTCGTTAAATGAATCTGGCTTCCCCCATTGACTTTGCTTGACAGAAGGTCGCAAAAGGGGATCAGATGACCCCAGGGACCCTGCGACTGTCATAAGTACACGCCAGTTGCCAAGACTCTGAATTTTGATCACGTGACCCTGGGGAGGCTGCAGTTGTCGTAAGTGTGTGAAAAACACTCATGAAGTCACTTTTTTCAGTGCCGTTGTTACTTTGATCGGTCACTGAACGAATGGCTATAAATGGTTTGTCTGAAATGGTGTAGGGCAGTGTTTCTCAACCTTGGCAACTTTACGATGTGTGGACTTTGCTAGCTGGAGAATTTTGGGAGTTGAAGTCCACACATCGTAAAGTTGCCAAGGTTGAGAAACACTGGTGTAGGGTTTCCTGCCAGAGCAGGGGGTTGGACTAGAAGACCTCCAAGGTCCCTTCCATTATTATGATTATGATTATTATGATTATTATGATTATCTCGAGGATTATCTGTACTGTTTACAATCAGTCCGTCATTAACACTGAGAGTTGTTAAAACCACCTAGGCAGCAATAATAATAATAATAATAATAATAATAATAATAATAATAATAATAATAATAATAATAATAATAATAATACTGTTGGAAGGGATCTTGAAGGTCATCTGATCCAACCCCCTGCTCAGGCTGGAAACCCTACAAGATTTCAGACAAATGGCTGTCCAGTCTCTTCTTAAAAACTTAAAAAAAGTGTTGGAGCATTCACCGCTTCTGGAGGCAGGTTGTTCCACGGGTTAATTGTTCTGACTGTCAGGAAGTTTCTCCTTAGTTCTAGGTTGCTTCTCTCCTTGATTAGTTTCCATCCGTTGCTTCTTGTCCTGCCTTCAGGCGCCTTGGAAAATAGCTTAACTCCCTCTTCTTTGGGGCAGCCCCTGAGAGATTGGAAGACTGCTATCATGTCTCCCCTCATCCTTCTCTTTGTTAAACTAGACATACCCAATTCCAGCAACCGTTCCTTATATGTTTTAGCCTCCAGTCCCCTGATCATCTTGGTTGCTCTTCTCTGTACTCTTTCTAGAGTCTCAACATCTTTTTTATATCGTGGTGACCAAAACTGGATGCAATATTCCAAGTGTGGCCTTACCGAGGCCTTGTAAAGTGGTATTAATACTTCACCTGATCTTGATTCATTAATCCCCATTAGGCAGCTTCCTTGCCAATAGCAGATCTGTTTTCATATTTTGATAAGACCACCCAACCACGAATTGATTACGACTGAAAGGATAAGTGTCGCAGACAAAGTAATTTCCCACAATCATCTAGGTTAGTGGCTGAAACAGGATCGGGTAGCTTGTGGTCCAATCTCTTATTACAGAAACCGTGTTGGATCCCTGATGGCTTAATATCGTATGGTCTACTTATCGGGACATCTCAGGACCTGTGAATGTAGGAATGGGATTTGTTTAACTAGGATTATAGGGTTTAGCTTGTTACATGAACCTAGAGACGTAGTAGATACGGAGTGTGAAGAACAAGTTCTGGCCAAGATGGCGGCTTCTGTGATAGCCGTTCCTTCCTTTGGGCCAGGATCTCCAGGAGAAGTTCATCCATCGATTGTCCTTCACCTCCTTTTGTGATCTTGTCTTCTCCAGCTTTTTGCGAGGATGACGTGACCTTCTGGGTGGCCGGGCTGAACTGGCTGGTGACGGATACGCAGCGATCACCCACTCCTCTCCAGACCGAAAGGTATGGGCCAGCGGGAGAAAATATGGGCAGAGCACCGATAGTCACCGAATCTGGAGCAGATGAGGGCACGCCGCTCAATCCGGCACTTTTTTGGAGTGGACTCACCTGGAATGGATGAAGACGGTGGTCCCAGATTAAGAGTTTAGAATAGAATAGAGCTGGAAGGGACCTTGGAGGTCTTCTAGTCCGGCCCCTTGCTCTAGCAGGAGAACCTATACCATCTCAGACAGGTGAATGTCTAGTTTCTTCTTATAATTCCTCCAGTGATGGAGCACCCACGATTTCTGGTGGCAGGCTGTTCCACTGGTTGACTGTCCTCAGTGTCAGGAAGTTTCTCCTTAGTTCTAGGTTGCTTCTCTCCTTGATCAGTTTCCAATCATTGTTTCTCGTCCTTCCCTCTGGTGCTTTGGAGAATAGTTTGACCTCCTCTTCTTTGTGGCAGCCCCTCAAATATTGGAACACTGCTATCATGTCTCCCCTATTTCTTCTTTTCTTTAGACTAGTGTGTCCTGTCCTGAGGCCAAGAATGGCCAACTAACACTTACCAGAGAGGAAAGGGTCATTCCTTCAATCAGAATAGAGCCGGAAGGGACCTCGGAGGTCCTCTAATCCAACCCTCTGCTCAAGCAGGAGACCCTATACAATTTCAGATAACTGGCTGTCCAGTCTCTTCTTAAAAAGTTCCAGTGCTGCAGCATTCACAGCCTCCAGAGGCAGGTTGTTCCACTGGTTAATTGTTCTAACTATCAGGAAGTTTCTCCTTAGTTCTAGATTGCTTCTCTCCTTGATTAGTTTCCATCCGTTGCTTCTTGTCCTGCCTTCAGGCGCTTTGGAGAATAGCTTGACTCCCTCTTCTTTGGGGCAGCCCCTGAGATACTGGAACTCTGCTATCATGTCCCCCCCCTCCAAGTCCTCCTTTTCTCCAGATTGGCCATCCCCAATTCCTGCAACTGTTCTTCGTATGTTTTAGTCTCCAGGCCTTTAATCATCTTATTTTGCTCTTCTTTGCACTTTTTCCAAAGTCTCAACGTCTTTTTTGCACTGGGGTGGCCAAAACTGGATGCTGTCTTCCAGGTGTGGCCTTACTAAGGATGTATAAAGCAGTACTCATACTTCTCTGCCCCCTTCCCCATTCCAACCCCAGAACACTAACCCGAGCAATAAATTACTCTTAACTTTGCAAGGGGACAAAAGTCTTCATCACCTTTGAAGATAGCTGAGGAGCTTCAGCGCAAAGCAAATCATAAAGAAGCAACGGATGGAAACTCATCAAGGAGAGAAGCAACGGAAAACTAAGGAGAAACTCCCTGACAGTGAGGACAATTAACCAGTGGAACCACCTGCCTCCAGAAGTTGTGGGTGTTCCATCACTGGAGGTTTTCAAGAAGAGATTGGAACCATTTGTCTGAAATGCTTGAGCAGGAGGGTGGAGTAGGAGACCTTCAAGGTCCCTTCCAACTCTGTCATTCTGCCTGCGTACCGCTTTCTAAAACGGTGACCTCTCGTCTTTCTCCTTCAGATGGTTGAGGAAGCAGTTCGACTCCATGGACCGATCTAGAGAAGGCAGGTGAGTAGAGAGATCTAGAGGAGCCACGGAGGCTTCCATGGAGGAACTGGTGCTTCTTCTGCTCCTTTCCTTTTTGTCCCCTTGAGCAAAGTGTGTTAGGCACAGAGAGCCCTAGTGAATAGTCTCAAAGTTACTCCAATGAGTTACAAGAATCTTCCCGGGCTGACTGCCTTCACTTGGGACCCGTCAGATAAGGGATTCCGGGGGAAGTCAAGCTTGTTGCAGCTTCTGTAGTGTGGGCTCTCTGGTGCTCTCTGAGCTGGGTGGTTCTCCTGCAGATGTTTTGTTAACAAACTAGGTAACATTATCAGTACTAGAAGGAAGTGGGGTTGAGGAGGAGGAGGAGGAGGAGGAAGAAGAAGAAGAAAAAAAGACTGTGGGGTCCTTGGTGTTCTCTGAACTTGGTGGTTCTCCTGCAGATGTTTCGTTACCAAACTAGGTAACATCATCAGTACTAGAAGGGAGGAGGAGGAAGAAGAGGAGGAGGAAGAGGAAAGGACTATGGGGTCCCTGGTGGTCTCTGAGCTTGGTGGTTTTCTTGCAGACATTTCATTGCCCAACTAGGTAACATCATCATTGCTAGAAGGGAGTGGGGTGGAGGAGGAGGAGGAGGAGGAGGAGGAGGAGGAGGAAGAAGAAAGGACTGTGAGTTCTTTTGTGCTCTCTGAGCTGGGTGGTTTTCTTGTAGACGTTTCATTACCAAACTAGGTAACATTATCAGTACTAGAAGAAAGTGGGGTTGAGGAGGAGGAGGAGGAGGAAGAAGAAGAAGAAAAAAGGACTGTGGGGTCCTTGGTGTTCTCTGAGCTTGGTGGTTCTCCTGCAGATGTTTTGTTACCAAACAAGGTAACATCCTCAGTACTAGAAGGGAGTGGGGTTGAGGAGGAGGAGGAGGAGGAGGAGGAGGAAGAAGAAAGGATTGTGAATTCGTTTGTGCTCTCTGAGCTGGGTGGTTTTCTTGCAGATGTTTCATGACCCAACTTGGTAACATCATCAGTGCTAGAAGGGAGTGGGATTTACAGAGAGGAGGGGGAGGAGGAGGAGGAAGAGGAGGAGGAAGAGGAATATGGAGTCCTTGGTGCTCTCTGAGCTGGGTGGTTCTCCTGCTGAGGTTAAGCCACACTGCTCCACCCCGTTTCTAAGGACCCCAACATGGAAGAAGACCCCCCCAATACACAGGGAGAGAAAAATCCTTGTAGCACCTTCTTTGTACTGAAGAGTTTTTGACGACTGCATCCAGTAAAAAATTAGGTCAGTCTGGAAATAAATGCTCACACTTTCTCTGCTTTGTGTTGTTGTTACTACTCTGCTCCTACTTCTAGAACACCTCCACTAGGCTGCGCCATGTAGAAAATAATTTCTAAATGAGAAAGAGGCAGCTCTAGGTAGGGCTTTAGGATTTCACCCTGTCCGTGCAGAATTAATCAGAAAGAACAACGCTCCAGGCAGGTAGGCCAATCTCTTGCTAATTCACCGCTCAGCCTTCCTATTTATTCCAGCAGTAATAAATCTAATGTTGGATTTGGTTGGGGGGGGGAGAATCAGGGAATTGAGGTCTACAGATGTGGCCAAGTTGCCGAAGCTGGACAAGTCTTTGGTTGGACCAAAGACTTTGGGGGAAAAATAGAAAAAAGCCAAGAGGTCAGGGAAGGGGGGGGGGCAGTGCCTAGGCATCCCCCACCCCACCCCACCCCTGCCAATAAGCCATAAACAGGATGTGGGGCAGGAAGGGGAGGTGGGAAATGGGTGTGGAGGTAGGAAGTGATGTGGAGCTGGACGAGGAGGAAGTGAGGGTCCAAATTTTTTTTATTTTTTAAACCAAAGGTGGATGATAGAATTGCACATTCAAAGCGGAGTGAAAATGTGCTTACCTCCACACCGAGGTTACTTAGCAAAAAATAAATAAATAAAGTCGCAAGTCTGCTTCTCGGTTTCCCAGAGGGTTAATTTTTAACTCACTTTTCATCTCCTTCACATTCTTTTAATCAGCTGCTCATTTTAACCCCCTGATCAAGGGGGTTCATCTAAAGCGAGAAGGTCAGCGTTAACTGTCTGGGATCTTCTCCAGCAAAGCGTCTCTTTGGCTCTCTTTTTTTTTTTTTTAAATTTATTTATTTATTTTTCCAAACTCTCCCCCATACATATACCGTGATATTTATCAGATGTTAACATACATAATAATAATAATAATAATAATAATAATAATAATAATAATAATAATAATAATAATAATAATAGTAATAGTAAAGTTGGAAGGGACCTTGAAGGTCATCTAGTCCAACCCCCTGCTCAGGCAGGAAACCCTATACCATTTCAGACCAATGGCTGTCCAATCTCTTCTTAAAAACTTCCAGTGTTGGAGCATTCACCGCTTCTGGAGGCAAGGAGTTCCACTGGTTAATTGTTCTCACTGTCAGGAAGTTTCTCCTTAGTTCCAGGTTGCTTCTCTCCTTGATTAGTTTCCATCCGTTGCTTCTTGTCCTGCCTTCAGGCACTTTGGAGAATAGCTTGACTCCCTCTTTTTACATTCTTTTTACATTCTTATATATAAGATACTTTTAATGAAATAAATACATACACATGACTTTTGGTGTTGCTCGCCCGTTTCCCCTTTCACGGCATCCACACTCCTTCTTCTTTACCTTCTTTCTCCCTTCCTTCTCTTTCTTCCCTACTTCCCTCTTCTTCCTCTCCTCTCCTCTTCTCTTTCCTTCACCACTCTCTCCTCCAACCTTCCTACTTCCTTCTCCCCTCCTTTACTCTTTTCTCTCTCCTCTCCTTTCTCATCCCTCTTCAGATACAATTCAGGGGGTAATGTCCGAGCAACTCCTCTCTCCAAATTTCCCTATCTGTGGCTCTTGTTGTTCTTACCCATCAGAGGATCTTGTTTGTAAGTCCCAGGAGAATTATTCGGGTTAAAGAATTCGATTATTCTATTAAAAGACTAATCTCAGGGCTGCTGAGAACGGCTGGGTGCATAAGACCTTCCTCCGGATTGGAATTCAACCTGGCCCGGCATCAGGAACGTCACGTTGGAAAGATCAGCTTTGGAAGTGCAATTTACAAAGCAAGGTCTCAAGGGCAGGCCACTAGCATATAAAAAGAGAGCCAACCCCATCTCCCTTCTAGCACTGATGGTGTAACCTAGTTGGGTCATGAAACGTCTGCAAGAAAGCCACCAAAATCAGAGAGCACCAAGGACCCCACAGCCCTCCTCCTCCTCCTCCTCCTTCTCTTCCTCTTCCCTCACCCCTCTCCTCCTCCTCCAACCCCACTCCTTTCCATCACCGATGATGTAACCTAGTTGGGTCATGAAACATCTGCAAGGAAACCACCAGTCTCAGAGAGCACCCATATATATATATATATATATATATATATATATATATATATATATATATATATATATATATATATATATATATATATATATATATATATATANCTGTCAGGAAGTTTCTCCTTAGTTCTAGGTTGCTTCTCTCCTTGATTAGTTTCCATCCATTGCTTCTTGTCCTGCCTTCGGGCGCCTTGGAGAAGAGCTTGACTCCCTCTTCTTTGGGGCAGCCCCTGAGATACTGGAAGGCTGCTATCCTGTCCCCCCTCGTCCTTCTCTTCATTATTTTTTTAATGTAATCTTCCGCATTCAACCAGGCTGGACTTTTTTTTTTATGTTTAATGTTAGTTTGAATGACCTATTCGTTCGTTTAGCAAAATTTTACCCCTAGGTTGAAGCCGCTTTAGCGGTTCGAAGCCCTTTTTACAACCCAGTTTGTAATCTGCAAAAACCAGTTTGAGGACTTTAGCCCAAACTGGGAGGGCGGAGAAGCAGGAGACCTGGGGTGGGATGCCTCCTGCTGCCCCCTGCTGCCTGCAATGGAGAACGGCAGCTTGGTTTCAGCAGGGGAAGATAATAGCGTGAATATAATTTTTAAAAATGTTGTCGTTCTGTTTTTAATCATTTGCAATCCTCCAGGCAAGATGGGCGGCACATAAGTTCCATTAATAAATAAAAATATAAAAATAAAAGAACCGAAGGGGGAGTTGTGTCTTTGTCCAAGGGTCTTTGTCTATCAGGGGAATATTATTTGCAGCTGTCACAATTCTGCAAGCAAATTCTAATCTTTCCCTGTGGATTGGGATCTGGGACAAATGTATAGACCAGTGGTTTTCCAGCCTTGCAACTTTAAGAGGGGTGGACTTCAACTCCCAGAATTCCCCAGCCAGCACAGCTGGCTGGGGAATTCTGGGAGTCGAAGTCCACCCCTCTTAAAGTTGCAGAGATTGGGAAACACTGACAGAAAAATCTAATTAAAATAAAATCTGCAGATCCAGCGCTGTGGAGTTGGCCCTTTAAATCCCCACAAAAGTTTTATTTTCTTGGCAACTTTAAGCTATGCTGGCTGGGGGATTCTGGGAGTCGAAGTCCACCCCTCTTAAAGTTGCAGAGATTGGGAAAGGTTGACCGAGAAAAACCTAATTAAAATAAATTCTGCAGATTCAGCGGTGTGGGGTTCATCCTTTAGACCCCACCCCCCCAAAGTTTCTTTTCTTTGTGCGGCGTAATGCAATCTCTAGATATTGGACCGGGATGAGTCCTGTGTTCAAATCCTCTCTCCACCATGAAAAGAGCTGTGCAACTGTGTAGGCCAGGATTTTTTTTCCTGCCGTGTAGGGATTAAATGAGGAGACCCCCCACCTCCTTAAGCTCCGAGAGGAAAGGGAAGCCCTGAGCCACACAGGTGGGGGTGTGAGTTTCGTTGTGTGGGTCTGAACGCACGTCCAACTGTTGTTTCTCTTGCAGCATCAGCCCCAAGGATCTGAAGGCCCTGTTACCCCAGGTCAACTGCCGTGTGCCGAATATGCGTTTCCTTCGAGATAAACTCGTGGTAAGCAGACGGGTGCTCTTTGCAGGCAGTCCTTGATTTACGACCAGAGTTGAGCCCCAGATTGATCTTGCTAAGCAAGGCAGTTGTTAAATGAGTTTTGCCCCATTTTGCGAGCTTGTTTTGCCACAGGAGTTAAGAAAAAGGGGCACAAAATAACAGCACAATAACAACCCCCTTACTCAGTAGTAAGTCAAAATCTCAATTTTCTTCAGTCTTATCGTAGCTTTCTTTCTTTGCCAAATCACAAATTTAATCCACTCTTTCTGTTCCTTTTCGTTTCTCCGCGCAGGAGGTGGAGGTTCGCGGTGAAATTTCCTTCAGCCATTTCACCCAGTTCTACAAAAACCTCATGTTCGATGCGCAGAAATCGGTAAGAACTTATGGCGTCCATTGTGGGAGGAGAGTTGTGCTCGTCAGCAAGAGCTAAAAAACCAGGGGGAATCTGATAAAGATTGTCCTCGCCTTACAACTGTTTGTTAGTGACCACTCAAAGTTACAACAGCACTGGAAAAAATGGCTTTTTTACACTTACGGCTGTTGCAGCAGCCCCTGTGAGTAGGTGAAAAACATGAGTCACTTTTTTCAGCGCCGTTGTAATTTGGAACGGTCACTAAATGGGTGTTTGTGAGTCAAGGACTCTCTGTACCTCCCTTTGTGCTTCAAATACCTTTTTCTTCAAACTTGTTAAAACTTCCCGACCTTGTGAGCAGGCTTAATGTCACGGTTCCGACAGATGAAACTCTTCAAAGAACTTTGAGGCATTGTTTACTTTAAAGAATCTTTATTTGAGTGGCATAGAATCGGCACTAACACAATCGAAGCCAAAAACTAGATTCCCCTCCCTAGAGCACATAGTATCAAAACACAATTCCCTCCTCCAATTAACAGTCATAAATCACATTCTCCAATTAGCTTGAAATGCAGGCTTCCCCTCCATTTCTCCAGCCTGCCAATTCTTATCATCTCTTATTTCAATAACCTTGGTTCTCACGCTAGGTCCAGTATTGTTATGTCTAGCTGAACTCTCATGCACATTCCTCCCCCCCAGCATCATCTAACTCTAACTCTAAAAGTAAAACATAAGAACAAAATGTTTGCATCTCCAACCGTTGTCAAAGCAAGAACATCCAATGTTAGCAGCATTGACATCAAAACTGGTGGACTCACTAACATTGCTGACACTAACGTGTCGCCTCTTTGCTTTTCAGATCATTGAACAACTAGAGCTGTCCTTCCCTCTACGGTAAGTAGGAAGCGTGCCTCAGTTGCCCCATCTCCTCTTGAGCCCAGGTGCTCATTCACCCAGGCGTTGTCTCTTTCCGCCTTCTTTGGGAAGATTTTCCCAATGGTGACTGAGTACAACTGCACAAATATAAGGTTTGCTTCTCCAGGGTGAGCCAAGAATTGACCAAAACATATGAAAAGCAAAAATAAAAAATGCTACTTGGGGCTACTTCTCTGTAAATTAGAGAGAGTCGGCTTTGAAACTTGCGTTTCTATAGTCCAGTGTTTGCTGACCTGGGCAACTTTAAGATGGGTGGACTTCAACTCCCAGAATTCCTCAGCCAGCCAAAGTTTCTGAACCTCAGCAGCGTTGAGAGACTCCTTCGTCCAACATCTGCCAGTTGGATGAAGTGAATGTCCAGTTCTTTTCGTCAATCATCTTGGGGTGTCTTTTTTTTTTTTTTAAAAAAAGATTTTATTGAGTTTTATAGGGTTGGGGATAAAATAGGATTGGGATAGGGATTAAGGTTTAGTGTGGGGTTAGGATCAGGATTGGGGTTATCCCCCAATAACATTTTGCATCTTTAGCAAACAGACTATTGTCCGGGTACATACGTTCAGTTAAGAATAGTTGATATAGTAATAAATAACTGTAGTAAGTGTAATAAACGATAGTCATAAACAGTATCAGTTAGTCAACGCGTATCATTCTTCTTACTAATATATATATATTCAAAATAACACATCCCATTCATTTCTCACTAGTTCGTTTTCCTAACCATTGGTAAAAATTGTCCCATGTTCTAAAGTAAACTGAATCTTAATAATAATGATAAAGTTGGAAGGGACCTTGGAGGTCATCTAGTCCAACCCCCTGCTCAGGCAGGAAACCCTACACCATTTCAGACAAATGGCTGTCCAGTCTCTTCTTAAAAACTTCCAGTGTTGGCGCATTCACCGCTTCTGGAGGCAGGTTGTTCCACTGGTTAATTGTTCTCACTGTCAGGAAGTTTCTCCTTAGTTCCAGGTTGCTTCTCTCCTTGGTGAGTTTCCATCCGTTGCTTCTTGTCCTGCCTTCAGGTGACTTTGGAGAATAGCTTGACTGCCTCTTCTTTGGGGCAGTCCCTGAGATATTGGAACACTGCTATCATGTCCCCCCTCGTCCTTCTCTTCGTTAAACTAGACAGACCCAATTCCAGCAGCCGTTCCTTGTATCTTCTTTCTCTTTACTCTCTAAAGTCAATCTATCCATTTCTGCACATTCTAAGATTTTCTTAATTAAAACCTCTTCCGTTGGTAAGTTTTCATTTTTCCAGTATTGGGCAAATTATTCTATTCTCGCTGCTGTCAGTACATGCAATATTAATTCATAATTAATATTCATTCTCCTCATAATTAGGCCCTAATATTCCTAACAAAAACAGTTCTGGTTTAAATTCTATCTTGTCTTTTAATCATCTTTTCCAACCATCTTGGGGTGTCTTACTGAGCGCAGAAGACCCCTGAGGTGTGTTAAACTAGCGTGGCTGGCCAGAGAATTCTGGGAGTTGAAGTCCACCCATCTTAAAGTTGCCTGGGTTGGTTTTTCCTCACCCTTCCAGTCGGAGCAGAAGAAGCTTCTTGGATGAGAAGCGAAACGTCTTCGAAGAAAAACCAGAAAGTCCAGTTGCCCCCTGAAACATACACCTTTAGGACGCCCGGGTGGAGAAATGCCGTAGAATCACTTAATTATTATAGTGAATACCTGTTTCAAGGACCCTCCACCAAAGGTATCTAGATTCCACCTGGAAGTGGAATATAAGCTAGACCAGTGGTTCTCAACCTTTTTAATGGCGCGACCCCAACCGGTCGTAAGTCGAGGACTAAACTGTTCGTAAGTCGAGGACTACACCGGTCCTAAGTCGAGGACTACCCAACCGGTCGTAAGTCGAGGACTTTCCCTGCCCGGGAGCGCCGCGCGTGCGTGGTTCCGCCCCCTGCGCCGGCCGAGGCGTAGCTGGCAAGCGGCAGAGACGGAGCAGGCCGACCACCAGCTGGCCCAGCCCAAGGGAGGTAAGGCACCCGCCGGAAAAGGGGAAAAAATGGCGGACAAAAAAAATGGCGGACAAAAAAAATGGCAGACAGCCTTGCTTGGCGACCCCCGTGAAATGGTCGATTGACCCCAAATGGGGTCCCGACCCACAGGTTGAGAACCACTGAGCTAGACGCAGGTGTAGTCAACCTTGGCTCTTTTATGACTTGTGGACTTCAACTCCCAGAATTCCTGAGCCAGCACAGCTGGCTCAGGAATTCTGGGAGTTGAAGTCCACGAGTCATAAAAGAGCCAAGGTTGACTACCCCTGAGCTACAGCTAGTTTGATAAGCAAGGAAGCAGAACTTTTGGAATACAACCGTAAACACCTGTGCCTCAGAGTATCATCTGGAGATGGTCTTCTCCAAACTGGTGTCCACAAGATGTCCAGCAAGACCTGTACGTGATGCTAGCTGGGGATTCTGGGACATGCGGTCCCGACTCGTCTAGAAGATGCCGGAAGAGGGATGAGTGACACGAAAGATGCAAAGACTTGACTAAGTACCGATAAAAGAGAACGTTTCCAGTTCAGAGTAGAACTGTGGGATCCTTGGTGCTCTCTGAGCTTGGTCAAGCTAGCATTGATGATGTGACCTAGTTTGGTAATGAAAGGTCTGAGAGAACACAAGCAAGGTGAGAGAACACCAAGGACCCCACAGTCGTCGTTGTCGTCGTCGTCCTCCTCCTCCTCCTCCTCCTCCTCCTCCTCCTCCTCCTCCTCCTCCTCCTCCTCCTCCTCCTCCTCCTCCTTCTCTCTGCAACTTTCCCTCCCTTCTAGCACTGATGATGTTACCTAGTTAGGTAAAGAAACGTCTGCAAGAAAACAACCAAGCTCAGAGAGCGCCAAGGACCCCACAGTCTTTTTCCTCCTCCTCCTCCTCCTCCTCCTCCTCCTCCTCAGTTTGTGTGTGTGCGTGGCACAGCCACTGAGACGCTTCCTTCTCTCCTGCTTCCTTTTCAGGAACATGGATCGGCCGGAACTCTGTCAAATCACCTTATATGACTTCCAGAAATTCTTACAATACGATCAAAAGGTATTTTCTGAAAGAGATAGCTTTGCTTCCGTGAAAACCAGCAGAGATAACGGGGTGTTGTTGTTTTTTAGCTTGTTTCATCTCCGTCCATTTTAATAGCTAATGTTTTCGTGCTGCTTTTACGGTGCTTTAGTCCAGGGCTTTTCAACCTTTCCACCCATTGTGCCACTTTTAGGATATGGCAACATCCGAGTACCACCAGTCGCCTAGCAAGGCGTCAAAAACTGGATGACCAAAAAAAAAGGAAAAAAGTGATGAAGTACAGGTAGTCCTCGACTTACAATAGTTCGCTTAGTGACTGTTCGAAGTTACAGTGGCACTGAAAAAAGTGCCCCCCAAGCCACAGCCGAGCAAGACCCCTGCCTGCCCACCCGGCCGCGCTCTTCCTCCTGTCCGAGGTTTTCATTGTTGTGAGCATTTCTGTTGAGGATTGGCAGCGGGGGTGGGGTGGGGGGTGTTTGGTTTTTATTCCCCCCCCCCCCGTCTGCTGGGTGGTTGCAGCAGGTTTTGGTCCCTTCACATGACCCTGGGACACTGTGACCGTCATAGATATGAATCAGTTGCCAAGCATCTGAATGTAAATCACAAGACCCTGGAGAGGCTGCAACATTCCAGCTGATCGGCGCTTCTTCTGGGCTCAGCGGAAGCGCCAGGATCAGCGCCGAGCTCCAGCTGGATCCTGGCGCTGATCCTGGCGCTTCCGCTGAGCCCTGACAGCCCTGCAGCTCCAGCCGTCTCTCGCTCAGGCTTGTGCGGTGCTGCCACCGATTCAGCTCATTCCCCTCCCCTGCTACCACTTTTCTAGGATGGTTGCGTACCACCTGCCATGTGCCCATGTCCCACAGGTGGTACCCGTACCACTGGTTGAAAAGCCCTGAATTAGAGGAGGGAATTGTGCTTTGATACTATGTGCTCAGGGGAGGGGAATTCAGTTTTTTCGAAGTTCTTTGAAGAGTTTCATCTGTCAGAACCATGACATAGGTTCTCTCTCTAACCTGGTCTTCCAAGTCCTCCAACGGGGCATCGATCTTGATAAAACCCGTGCAGCGCCTATCAAAGTGGCGGGACTTTGATCGTAGACGCCATCCTAACTTTTTTTGACCTTGCCTGAGGATGCCCCTTCCCTCTCGGTTCAAACCCGGCTCCCTGGCTGCGCAGCTTGCTAGTAACTCTGCCTTCTTCCTTTTCTCTGCAGGAATCCTGGGCGAGCGACCTTGCCAAAGTTCGGCGGTGCATGTGCAGCTACTTGCAGGATCGTTCTGCCGACACGACAGAGCCCGTCTTCCAGCTGGATGAAGTGAGTGTCTGGCTCTTTGTGGGATGTCTTGTTTGGGCTCAGAAAACCTCTTGAGATGTAGTTAGACCGGCATCTCTCAACCTCAGGAACTTTAAGATGGGTGGACTTCAACTCCCAGAATTCCCTAGCCAACTGCAAGAGGGATCTGGGAGTCCTAGTGGACAATCCCTTGAATAGGAGCCAGCCGTGTGCTGCAGCTGCCAAAAAGGCCAACACAGTGCTGGGCTGCATTAACAGAGGGATGGAATCAGGATCAGGTGAAGTGTTAATACCACTTTACAAGGCCTTGGTAAGGCCACACTTGGAATACTGCATCCAGTTTTGGTCACCACGATGTAAAAAAGATGTTGAGACTCTAGAAAGAGTACAGAGAAGAGCAACAAAGATGATTAGGGGACTGGAGGCTAAAACATATAAGGAATGGCTGCTGGAATTGGGTCTGTCTAGTTTAATGAAGAGAAGGACGTGGGGGGACAGGATAGCAGCCTTCCAATGTCTCAGGGGCTGCCCCAAAGAAGAGGGAGTCAAGCTATCCTCCAAAGCACCTGAAGGCAGGACAAGAAGCAACGGATGGAAACTAACCAAGGAGAGAAGCAATCTAGAACTAATAGTTCTGATAGATAAAACAATTAATCAGTGGAACTTCTTGCCTCCAGAAGTTGTGGGTGCTCCATCACTGGAGGCTTTTAAGAAGAGATGGGACAGCCATTTGTCTGGGATGGTATAGTGTCTCCTCCTTGACCAGGGGGTTGGACTAGAAGATCTCCAAAGCTTCTTCCATCTCTGTTACTCTATAATAGTCTTTCTCTCCCTCATCTTTGCACAGTTCCTGATGTTCTTGTTCTCCAAAGAAAACATGCTGATGGATTCCAAGGGTGAGCAAGTGGTCCCTGAAGAAATGAATTTCCCCCTGTCCCAGTACTGGATCTCGTCTTCACATAACACGTAAGAGTTCCTTGGATCCTTGGGTTTGAGGAGGGTTAGAGGAGAGGAGGAGGAGGAGGAGGAGGAGGAGGAGGAGGAGGAGGA